CAGCGCAGGAGCGCTGCCCCTGCAATGCAGCCGGGTTTCCAGAGCACCAGACAAAGTGCCGGTTTCCCAGCCCGTGTCCCCCGAGCCAGGCTTGACTGCCCAGAGGCCAACGTCCCCTCAGGAGCAGCCTGTGGAGCAGCAGCCCGTGGTCCTGAGCACCAACAGCCCTGCTGCTCTCAAAGTGGGCACGCAGCAGATCATTCCCAAGAGTCTGGCGTCTGAAATCAAGGTGACAAGCAAAGGCAGCAGCCAGAACGCTGAGACGAGCAAGCGGGTGCTGAAGGTCCGCAGCATGGTGGAGAGCCTCAGCGTGCCCTTGGTCGCCGATGCTGAGGAAGAGGCCGAGGGTGACCTGGACAGCCCGGGGACCCTGAGGCGCGGCCTGAGGTCGACGTCCTACCGCAGAGCAGTGGTGAGCGGTGTGGACTTGGACAGCTCTTCTAACTTTAAGAAAAAAAATAGAATGTCTCAGCCCATCCTTAAAGCAGTTGTTGAAGATAAAGAGAAGTTTTCGAGCCTGGGGAGGATAAAGGTAAGTTGTTGGTCAGTTACACGGTGATTTGAATGGTGTAGGCTACACAGGAGCGTGATTTGTGATCTCTGTGTTTTCCATAAATGCTGGGGTTTTCTTCAGTTTCCTTTTCGCTACCACAAAACTTTTCATGGTTATGACGAGTCTCACAGATCACTTACAAGTGTTGTTTTCAAAGTGAAGTGGTGGAGGCTTCAGGGACACAATTCTGTTGAAATCTGGGCAACTCAGAAATGTGTTGATGGCAGCCTCATGCTTGCATTTCCCACTGGATTCCCCAGCACATCGAGGTTTTCTTTCACAATCAAATCTGTTTTAAAACCTGTTTCCCGGAAAGCAGTAAACAGGAAAAAAGAGACGTTGACTTTAATAAAGTCTGCCTGCTGGAGCAGACAGACTGACAGAAAAATTAACCCTCCCTCACTCCTCTATCTGAGACATGACTTTTCAAGTGTTTCTAAAAATCAGAGTGCAGTTTTTAAATTGGTAGAGGCCACTTCAGGTATCTTTTTGTAGCTTAATTTTAATGCCTGCAAGTAAAAGCAGAATGCCTGTTTTATAATTGTAGTCCCTTAGGAGTAGTAGATTTAATGTACTGAAATTAAATTATAGAGACTTACGAGATTACAATGTGATGTGTCAAGTAAAAGAATATTTTCAGTATTTCCTTCCTTTTAAACATAACTTACATACTTCTAAAAAATATATTGGTAGATTTCTGCGGAGTGTTTGGAATTGTGTAATAAACTACTCCAGGCTGAGGGCTAATGCTGTATTAAAATAATTATCAGCTTTATGACAATTTTCAGCTACATTAGAAAGTAATGGTTATGGAAGCTTTTGTGAAAATGCTTCAAGGAGTGGAACAGTCTTTGGTCAAATTGTGAACTGCTGCTGGGTGGGGAGGTGGTTTGGTTTGGTTTGGTTTTGGTAGTAGACTTAACAGTAAGTTATGTTTAAAATAGGACATGACATTGTCCTGTCTTTACACACAAACCTCTTCTAGTAGCATTTTTTTTTTTTTAATAGATTCCTCAGACCTCAGGATTTGTTGCACCAAAACAGCTGTTTTATTTCAAAGGTTTGTTTTGGTCTCCAAACGTTAGTTTACAGAATACTTAATGTGGTGGTTCTTTGCAGAGTGTGTGGAGGGAGACAGCCTCTCAGTCGTGTCCCTTACATCCTCACAGCAAAGCCCAGTGACAGTGGAGTGGGTTGCAAGTTCACTGAACCCTTGTAAAGCTCGTGTACTGTGCATTTGAAACACAGGAAAAATGAACCATTTGGGGCAGATATGTAAAAACAGTGCATGAGAGAAGGAAAACTAGGGTAGCTTTTCATTTTCTGTGATGAAACAATTGTTTTCATGAATACTTGTCCAACATCAGAAGTTTATAGATGAGGGCTTGTTAATTTGATGACTAAGTATCAAACAAAATAGATGTTCTTGTAACTGTTGGTTATTTTGCATTCTTCTTTTAATGTGTGTGCATCTCTTTCCTGTTAAAATTGTCAGAAGAAAATGCTGAAAGGCCAAGGGACGTTTGATGGGGAAGGTAAGAGACATGAACTTCAGGATCACTTTGCACACTTGTTTCATATGTAGTCAAAGACTAGAAGTACATTGTTTTTCAGTAAACTGACTAAAATATGAAACCATAATTTTGGCACTAGACATGTTTCAGGGAATATTGTACAGAATGGCAGGATACAAATGGGGGTTTGTTTGACGGGCTTCTTTTCAACTTAAACTCCCAAAAGATGAGCTGGCTGATGTGTGTGTCTCAGCCCTAAGGGTTCTGTAGAGTTCCATAGGTGAGGCTTGTTCCTCCCCTGGGACTGCCTTCCTGCCTGTTCCCGGGTCTCCTCCCAGGTGGAAGATGGAGCTTTTGTGGATCAGCTTAGGGGTTTGGGGTCATCACTTGCAGCAGATGCCGGAATTGCTGCTCTGAGTTTCTGGGCCATGCAGCCGTTTCTCTCTTTTCCTCATAAGGCAAGGGTGCTGGGGTGAGTTGTTTGACTTGCTACTCCTTTTCTTTTCTTGCTGACCTGGGCTTCAAGTATCAGGAAAATGCTGTCCTTGCATCTGCTTTTTTTGTGTTATCACTGATTCTGGACTTTGACAAGTTTCCTGCTTTTCCCAATATTTCATCAAGAAAAAAATTTCTTCCTTGGCTGTAAGTTCATGGAAGTTTTATTACAGTAACTGCTCCTCTCCTGGCTTTTGTCCTCTTAATGCCTCCTTAAGGTCATCTCAGCTCAGTTACCTTCCTTTTCTTCTTGTTTCTGTTTTCAAAACTTCCCTCTTTGTTCCATTTGCATCACCCCCTGTCTTACTCTGATTTTCATCTTTTCTGACACTATTTCCTGATGATGTTTTCTGGATTCTCTTCCACTGGCTCCCTTCTCTCTTGGACTGATCCCAACTAATAACTTTCTCTGTAATGCCTCTCAGAATTCAGTTGCTGTACACAATTTCCTATCTTAAAAGCATATAAAATATATAGACATGTACCAAAGAACAAAACCAAAGGCCAGACCTTGTATAATACTCACTCAGCCAGGGCTGTATAACCTGAGCAGGTGGAGCAGATCCACCCAGCCTGGTGTAAGACCTCAGGAGCTGCAGCTGTGTGAGGAGCAGCCAGACCTTTCACTTCTTTCCCCTTTCCTTTGTAGGGGAGGATTGGATATTGTCCAAGGCCTGGCCCATCTCTGCAGCACCTTTTGAAGCTTGATTTCTTAACAGCTTAGTTCATCTGCAGGTTATTCTGGTCTTGGATTTCTCTGTCCTTTTCTGTCTGCTTTTGAAAAGAGTGTGTGGTCAGGGGGTGGGGAAGTGGAAAGGGCAAGCTCCACACCTGTGTTTCACTGATATAATGGAGTTAATACTGGCAGCACTGAAATATACAGTGAGTGTATTTTGGTGTAAGGTTCATAGGCCTCATGCTTATTCAAGCAAGCTTTGAAGTTTCTATTTGGAATAGTTCTGACCTCAAATTTCTGAAATTTGGATCATTTCCTTCTCTCAGTGAAGCGCAAAGACAGTATTTAAAGCTGACGGAACAGAAGTTGGCGTGGGGAGTGGACTCTTAATGGTCTTGTAGATGAAAATAGCTAGACCTCCAGATTAGTGACTCTGTTCTACTGACGTGCTTGTTCCGTTTTGAAATTGCTGGCTAATTATGAAACACTGTACAGCCAACCAAGGAAGAAAAAATTGTTTTCTGTTTTTTCTTGACAAAGGACACATCTGTTCTTTAATTCAGTCAGTGTGGATCCTTTTGGTAGCGGTACAGTGATCCATTGTTGCTGTGCTGCACCATTGTCCATCCTCAGTACGATACTGGCTTTGTCTCTTGCAGTTTGTGAACAGCACATTGACATTTTGGTTTCTTTCATTGTTGAAATTTTACTTAGAATTTTTATGAAAACAACTAAGCTGATTTTCTAGAAATTAATGACATACGGTTGTTGTTTTATAGAAAATGCTGTATTATATCAGAACTATAAAGAAAAAGCTTTGGACATAGATTCTGATGAAGAGTCTGAGGCCCGAGAGCAGAAACTGGATGAAAAGATTGTTTTTCACTATAAGCCCCTGAGATCGACGTGGAGTCAGCTGTCTGTTGTGAGTATTTGATCATTGTACAGCCAGACAAAGGCAGAGTATTGAAGAATGTGTTGAAGCAGGTCTTTTTACTTGGTACTGGAGATTTTGGCTGAAGTTTGTCATCTTTTCCATTCTAAAATATGAGGTGTCTCCAAATATATATATACTTTTAATTAACAAGTTTGCAACCATTCAGATGTTACTAATGCAGATCCTGAGGTCTCAGTGTAGCTTTTGCTTAGGTCTTATGTAAGGTAACTCCAACAGCTTAAAGAAAGCATAAATCATGTTTCCTCAGTCACTTTTAGTAGGTATAGACTGATGCTCCTGCCAGAATCAGTTTCCCTGGTTACCTGACACGTCCCTTTTCTAGTGCAAGTGTTCGTAGGCTCATGTGGCCACACAACAGACTGGTTGGAGTATCTGATTTGGAATTACAAAGGAAAAAAATTCAATGTAGTTTAAGATTAAATTAAATACAACTTTGATATATGAAGGAATTAATATTTCATAATTTTATGCTTTAAGCTGCATTTCTGGTTTTGTTTTGTTTTTTTTTTTTATTTTTAAACTATTCTGGACAAAAAAAAAATCAAGCCTGCCTCTTGTGTGTGCACATGGAATTTAAGAGCCTTTAAGACTTTGCACTTCCTGCAGTCACCAGGGATGGGTGCTTGGGCCTGTCCTGCACAGGGTGCTGGCAGCCAAGCTGATGCAGGTCCTCAGCAGAGCTGGGGTTTACGCTGGTGGATGGTGCTGTGCCTGGCTGTTCTGAACGAGGTGCTGTCAGAAAGCCTGAAAGGACAGGTTTAAATCCTAACAGCCTGTAAACTCCGAGTGAATCTGTCTGTTCTAGTTCCTTTCAATAAATTGGAGTGGTGTGGACTAAACCTTAAATAGCATTTAGTCCTGGTTTGTTTTGGTTTTGGTTTTTTTCCCTAAACTTAGTTTTTCATTTCATAAGAGCACCGTGGGAGTCCTGATCAATTACTGGGCTTTGGTTTACATAAACAGCAGTTGAGAAAGTTCATTTTAGGATCCTGTATTTGGCAAAGACACAACTTTACTGATTTGTAAGGAAGAAAAAAATAAGTGTGTGAATTCACTAAAAGGGTGAATTATACAAAGGAGCAGCCTCAGTTAGTTACAAACTGGTTTCTGCTGAATTGTTCTGAACTGCTGCAAGCCAACTCTAAATGGATTTGACTGCATATATTTAAGGGAAACCATTTTAAAACGGCCAGGTCTTCAGATGGTGGTGTTCTGCTGTCCTCAGCACCACCTGCGAGCCATGGGCGGTGGCTTTTTCTTAACAGTGTCGTTAAACAAAGGAGAATCCAGGTGCTTGAATCAGTTCTGTAATCTTGCTAGCACCCCTGCTAATTAGCTGGCAAATTAATGACACCTGTTGATGTTTCTACAGGCTTTCCTAGTGTGCCTGATTTTGAGTCTAAAGAAACTGTAAAAATTCCATGTTTCTGTGGTTAATTTTAGCCTTTGATAATTTCTGTGGTTTCAGAGGGATATCCCTAAAATGAATTTGTTGTTTGTTGGTTTTTGTTTATGTAACTTGTAGAATGTTGTAGGATCTCATCTCTCTGTGGGTAGGAAAGGATGATTGTTACATGCCATGATCGCCTGGGGTGTTTGACAGTCGGGCCGTTGGCTGTGTACATCCTGCATACACTAGATACTGATCCTCAGCAGCATCTTCCAAGGCTGTTTGGGTTGTCTGGTTTGAAGAGCTGTCTCACTGATAGATGTTGGTGACCTTTTGCAGTTTAAGGTATTGAAATATGAATCCTTCCTTGATTCAGTAATTATAAAGAAGGCAAGACAATGTGGTTTTGAGAAGATTTGCTTTAAACTTACTTTCAACAAATTTCAACTTTAAAAGTAGTTAATTTGGTTAATGTTGCGAAATAGTTTGTTTATAATAAAGTCAGATTGGTTTTTTCCCTACCTTCTAGGCAGTCTAGCAGTTAAATCTTCAACAGCTGAGCTATTTAGGAAGGAATGCTACTCAGTAATAACAATAATTTAAAAAACACTAATTGGTCGTGAGACCAAAATAGTATAAAGATCATCTCAGTAGGAGAACCATTCCTGTGCCATGCTTACAGTTACATAAACCAACTCGTTCTTCACAGTTTCTAGCACAGAAAGCTTGTTCAGTGTCTGCTTGATTTACAGGGCTGGAAGTGGGGAGTGTGTGGGAGAAGGCAGTGCACTGTGAACACAAACTGTGGGAATCTGGATGTTGTAGTGTCTGTGTTTAAAACTCTCTGGAAAAATTACACGTTGTGAATGTGTATTAGAAAGTGAGTGTGGAGTTGTAACCGGAAGTCAGCTGGAAAACGTCAAAGTATTGGGTTTCAACATAGGTTAGGAAAGGAGGAGAGGAGGAGACTAATAGCTTTATGGTATTAGCAGTGACTGTGCTAGGGAGTGGAGGGGAAGGGCAGCAGGATCCTCTCTCTCTGCTCTGCAGAGTGTTTCTTTGGCTGATGCAGCTCTGACCAGGCTTTCTGTCTGAGGGGGGGACTGAAACCTTCATGCCTGGAGTTTCCACATCCTTTATGATGACAATTAAAAAAAAAAAGATCTTTCAGTCTTCCTACAGTGTACACACACACACGTGTGAAGATAAGACTGAGCTTTTCAGAGAGCGTTTAAAGACTCTAAAATAGGCTGCTATTTAAATTCTTCTCCTGAGCCCTCTTCCCCTTTAGATTCCTCGTACCGATTAGACAGCAGTGGCTGAGCTTATCTGCTCTCCCTGTTCCCTCCAACCTTCACCTGTTAATTTAAAAGTTTAATTTAGGGAGAATAACTGAGATTTCCAAAATATATCCCAGAAGTATCTGTTGATGTTTTTGAAGAATTCCCAGCAGATCATAGGCACTGATATTAACTTGTGCGCTGCATTAAATGGATTTACTCTCCAACAAGTCTGGCATCCAGTTGGTGTGGATAATGACAGTGTGTATCACTGTGGATGGGAAGGATCACAACAGCAGTTAGCTTGGAGAGGACCTCTTGAGATCATCTTGTCCAACCCCCCTGTTGAAGGAGGGTCAGTTAGAGCAAGTTGTCCAGGGCTGTGTCTGGTCAGGCGTTCAGTATCTCCATGGGTGGAGACCTCAGTGCCCGCCTGGGCAGCCTGTGCAGTGTCACCACCACATCTGGCTGGTGGACTTTGAACCTCAGTGCCTGTTCTTCCGGGTCCTTACCCTCCAGCCTGGAGAAGGTGATGTGTGTTCACTTTGCACTGCTACTGTCAATGCTGCTGTGATTCTTACAAACATTCTTGAGATCTAACACTGAAAATGGATGTCCCATAGCATGGGTAATGCTGACAGTTATTGAAGTATTTCATGTTAAATGGATGTTTTAACACCGAGTCCTCCACTGCACGCCCGGTACTTTCAATGTATTTACATAGCACCGCATGTTCACTCAACTGCTGTCTGTAACCTGAAACTCTTCCTGAGCTTTGGTCATCTTGTGTTCCATTTTTCCAGTCATCTCTTGCTCTGGTTTGGGACAAGTGCAGTTGTGATTTTTCTCATTCATTTAAAAAGCTGCTGCAAGTTGCTTTATGAAGTCACTCGTGCTGTCACCTTTCCTCGGCTGCCCCTTCTCCGTGGTGTCACACACGGGCTTCCTGGTGTCAAGGATTTCCAGGGCTGATCTCTGCATTAGCTCTCATTTCTCTCCCCGTGTCACAAGGCTTATGTTCAGTTTGGTTTATGGTGCAGCCACTTATTACAATTCTCAAAGAAATATTTCTGGGGAGCTCCTTCCCTGCAGCACCTCCTTATTTTGGAGGAACTTCTTGTACATAACCACAGAGCTGACCTGTTGTTCTTCCATCCTTTCGTCCTCATCTCCTTGGTTCAATCAGTCGTAACTGAGCTGCTGGAAAAAACAGTTCAGTGTGACAAGAAGACAATGTTAGTAGCTGTAGTGCTGGGCCTCTTCCATTCTTTCTGGTTATGTTCTTAGCTTATATGAAGTTTTTGTTTGCATAGTATCACAGTTTCAGCTAAAACATTGCAGACACCTCAAAGATAGAGCTGGAGTATGCCAAAAATAGCCTCCCTGTTTGGAGCTCTTTGGGAGTGTTGCTGTTGATTAAAAACACAAGGTTGAACCATTAGCTTCTGTGATTAATTTGTATGTGTGCTGTGGATGTGCACACCCATGTGTGACAAAATAACGGTACAAAACATGCTGCAGGTTTTTGAACATGAATACAGCAGTTGCCACATGGACCTCACTGGAAATTTGCAGGAAGCATTGAAATCTCTTGGATGTGTTCATAGGTATTTCCTGTGCTGGCATATTTTTAGAAGAGCCTTCCTCTGCATCCAGAAAAAAGTGTCTTTAAACTTCCTAGTGAGTGTTTTAAAGCTTTTGGGTTGTTGATTGAAAGGTATTTTAATAGTTTACTAGAAAGACATCTAATTAGTTCATGCTTGGTGTTCAGAAGCGTGTGCTTGTGGTGACACAAGAATGTGTAACGTGTTCAAAAGAACAGCTGTTCAAACACTGGAGTATTTGTGTTATTTTTGTGAGTAGATACATGTGTGTATATACTTTGGTGTGCTTACAAACCAGAGAGCAGCACTTCTTCATGTTGTGCCACCTCTACCGTGAGCCTGCTCTCCACGCTTGTGGTGCCTACTGTGCAGGAATATGATGAGGAGTAATATCACCTTTAAAATTCCAGGGAACAGGTGGAGTGAGAAGATAAAGCTGTTGATGATGGTACATTAGGAGCTTTTGGAGAAGACTGGAAGAGAAAGGGGAGAATGGAAGTGCATCTGTTAGAGGTCTCGTGTCCCGTGACATACTGCTGCTCCCCAAAGAGAACAGCATCTTCCACATGTGTAGTGCTGTGTGGTGGCCTCGCCCCTTCCCTGGCCCAGCGTGCCATGCACAGGTCACCCTCCTGATCTGGGGTCCTGTGTTTAACACTCTGCTAGGAAATGCAGAAAGTCAGTCCCTTTTTTTTTGTTCTTTTTTCTTTTTTTTTTCTTCTTACCATTCTCCTGTTAAATGACACAGTGCACGTGTTTGCACCAGGAAAGAATACACTTCACGGGTCCCTGGTGTGGAATTTGGTAGCTAAGCGTGTGGCTTTAGGCTGTGGAAAATGTGCTGTGGCTGGAGTTCCTGATTGTGTCTGGAGAGCTGGGGCAAACTGGTCGTGGCTGATCTGGCTGTAGGGTGCAGAGACATCATCGTAGGGCTGAGGACAGAAATACAGGGGTGTGTACTCAGGAGTTTGCCACGTCTCTTTAGGGTCAAACTGAAGCTCCTCCAGAATAATGTTTTGACCAACACACCACCTGTCTAGGTAGTTTGCCTTCACCTTTAGGAGTGTTTAACAAATCTGAGACACTGAGCAAGCTGACTTGGAAAATGAACCTTGTGATGTATGTGTGTTAGTCAAGAAATCTAACTTAAAAGAAGAAAACAATTCTTCTTCTGTTTCTTTTTTCTGTCTTCTTTCTTTTAAGTTTTCTATACACACACATACTTCTGTGTGTGTATAAAATCCAGGGAGGTTGTGCAGGGTGACTGTGATTCAGGTGTTCATGCTTTTGCTGCAGTTCTGTGTTTGTGTCTTGGGATACTTTTTAATGCAATTATGTAGTTCTTTTGATAAGGCAAATGACAGATGTTACTGATTTTTTTTATCTCTGCTGGTTCATTGCTATCATTCTGAAGTTGACAGTTTCTTTAGTTGAATTTTTAGTGTAATGTTTTGATAGTCCTGTATTTTTTTTAATAACACTTTTCTACAAAAAATGTTTTAATATTTATTTATTATTTTTTTAGGTAAAGAAGAATGGATTATCAGAAGTGATCAGCCAGGAAGAAAGAAAAAGGCAGGAGGTACTCTTTAAAGTCACACATCCTTTTTTTTTGTTGGTTGTTTAGGGATGCACTGCATGGCTGATTTACTGCTCTCTATTTGTTGATAAGGAGACAAGTTCATTACACTGCTTCCTGTCCTAGAGTGAAGTGTCTTCTCTCCCCAGGGAGGATAAATAAACAAAACTCCAGTGTCTGTTGCTGGAGTGCACGTGTCCCTGCCCCGGGTCTCCTGCCAGCATCCTGCAGGTCTTGCTGAAGGAGCAGAGGTGGCCTGGTTTGATGGCTGCTCAGACAGTCACCCCTGCGTGCTGCACCGGGGAAGGTGTAAAATCAGCCTTCTGTTCACGGGGGTAGGAGGTGACACATGCATTTTTAAAGGCAGTGAGGAACAAAGAACAGCTTTTTACAGCGTCCCTGAGTTGTAACTAATCCTGGGAACAACTTGGAACATGCCAGCGCTGTGTGTCTGGTGTCACTAACCTTTCTCCTTCACACCCAAGTGGAGTAGGTGTGTCCATGCTGCCAGCAGTACAGACAACAGCAGCAGTTACTGATGTAGTTATCTCTTTCTGTCTCTTTCCCCTTTACTCCTTTCATCTTCTTTATCCACTTTCCCCTTTACTCCTTTCATCTTCTTTATCCACTTTCTTCTTCCTCTTTACTCCTTTTGTCCACTTTATCTGCTTTACCCTCCTTCCTTACTTACAGGGCCTATATCAAAATGAATGAGAGGTGTTGAAAAGAATAGCCTGACCTAGCCAACTATATACCTGCAGTTCTTGAGGTATGTCCTTCAGCAGGGAAAAAAACAAGGTTTGGTTTTGGGTTTTTTGGGGGTTTTTTTGCTAGAAACACTGTAGCATGACCTGCCATGGTAATTAGTTCCAGTATCTTCATTTCACTTCAGGACATACCTCAGTGAATGTAGCTGAGTGAGACTTGACTGGGGTTTTCTCTGAGTTCACAGATGTGTACAGCAAGCCTCAAATATCAATTCAGCTGCGTGACCTACAGCTCTTGTGTTCATACATGAAATACAGAAACATCTTGTGTTGCATTCAGGAGATTTAGACAATAGTTTGCTGGGGTTTTTTTTAATAATGCTACATTTCTTTGGCTATCTCCTTTTGATTTTTTAGGGAAGAGGCTGTGCAGCAGCTCAGGCCATGTCTTCTGTGTTCTGTTTTTCTGTCTCCTCCTTCTGGGAAGCTTTGAGACACGAGGCATTTATTTCAGTCATATCCTTTAGGAGCCTTGAGTCTATGTTTCCTGGAGTCATATTTACCTCCCTTCAAAGAGAACAAGTTCTTTAAATGCCTTTTAAATGTAAAGTCTTTAATATTACCAAAAATGTTTTCAAGTCTGAGATGTTTTTTACTTGAATATTAGAGGCTCACTCTTTCAGAGGGAGCCTAGATAAATAGTCTTAAGATGTAGCTGTGCTACCAAGTCATGCTTTTTCTGAATGTCTTTTAAATTACTTTTTGTCAGTTCTTCTTTATCCATTCTTTAAAGTGTTTTTTAGAGCCTGTTGGGTTATTTTTGCCATCATGATGTGTTGTCATGCAGAGCTGGAAGCTCTCACTGTGTATCTGTACAAACTGCAGTATGCATCTGGCCACTTCAGAGTGTTCACTGTCCATCAGGACTCAGACATCTGCTTACCTTGATATCACACAACTGAACCACCATATGGTTGCAGATGTCCTTCAGAAACCATTAGTAAGCACCTGGGAAATGCCACCCCAGTCTCTGAATGTGGAGTAGTTGCTTATGACAAAGTCAGGGTTGTTTCTTAATCCTTTAATTTTTTATTCTCTGAAGTG